GCCCGACTCCTCCACGATCTGGATCATCTCTTGCATCTGGAACAAGCCATGGGGGTTGGAATCCAGCAGGCATTACAGCAACTCATGGCTCAGGGGCTACCATGGTCTGCAGGGCATTGACTGATTCGAGGAGCTGCCATGGGCCCCATCTGCTCAGCCACCTGCCCCTTTAAACCCTGCCCTTGGATCCAATCCCTCATGGAACTACACCTGTTCAAACAGCCAGGGAAAGGACCTTGCTGCTGGTGCAGAACCCAACACAAGGTACAGGGATCAGCCAGACTCTGCTCTGCCCTAGGGAACGTAGCACTGCTACAACAGGGGCCTCCCCAACACTCCCTGGCCCATACTCACCTTGAGTGTGCAGTTCAGGTTGGAGTTTTTATGGAAGTTGCATTTTCCCTGGGAGCAGCAGAAGCGCTGCAGATCTGTCCACAGCCTGAGCAAGAGACCCTTGTGAGTGCAGGAAACAGCAATGCAATAGGCCAGGACATGAAGCCACCAACCCGTAGGAAACTCCAGTGACTACCAAGCACTGTAGCACTTCTCTGCTACACAGGCTCCATGGGCACATCACCCCTGTCCTCTACTCCCACAGGACAGCAAGGAGAGTCCTTATCTTCAAGGCACTCACTGGCCTGCATGCAGAACACCTACAAACCTAAGGCTCTGGGCTGACAATCATGAAGGGTAACTCCACTCCTCAGGCACAATGGAGCTGTCCCGATTAGGGAAAAGCAGGTGACAGACCTGCCTCAGGAGTGGCTCTAGACTGTGGGACAAGGGACCACCCCAAACCTCCAGACCTCCTGCACCAAGTGCCAGGCATGCTGCTCTAACCAGTCTTCTCCAGTATAACAGAGCAGCACCAGCACAGAAATCAAATCACCCCTCCACTGCGCACAACCCTCCCCCTGAGGAGTGGAAGAACAAGCCCCATGTGACTGACATCTGTCACTCACTGTGTGCCTGGAGAGTGCTCAGATGCTGCAGAGAGGAGGGTGGGAGGAGACCCCAAGTAGAACAGAATGGAATTCCCACTCCCAGCCAGCAAGCACAGTCTTGAGGGGCGTGGGCCAGTCCTCCAAACCCTTTTGCAGCAGATCCCGTTCCCTGGAAAGGCTGCAGCCCCCCAGCAACAGCGAGGAACTGGCCTGCTGGGGCCCCAGCTGTGCTGGGGTAGCCAAGCTTCAAGGGCAGCACCCTGGCCAGGGAGGCTGGGCCAGAGCAGAGAATGGCCACCAACTCCCCCATCCGCACTCTGCTCCCGAGTCCCAGTCCACAAGCCTGCATGCTAGAGGCCAGCGCCCTCTAGCTGCAACTCAATAGTCCACAGCCCCAGTATCTGCACATTCTTACCCCGTTCCCAGGAGGCCGTGGTAATAGGCAAAGTAAACCAGGGAGTTGTCATTGATCTCATAGGAGGAGAGGCCATTTCCCACGGCGAGTCCCTAGAAAACAGGGCGCAGCAGTCAGAACTTACGGTGCATTCCCCACGCCAGGCAGAGCAGGGACCAAGGCACCTGCTGAGCAGGAAGCAGTTGCTTCGGGCGGGGAAGGGGGGGCGAGCTGGCCTGGACAATGGGGTCTCCACAAACCCCACACTGGAGATGGATAGCCCGGAGCACAGTTGAACACCCCCCAGCATGGACGTAGTATGATGCAAAGCCATATGGAGAGAGCTGGCCCCTTGGCACACACTTCCCTCTGTCAGAAGGCATCTCCCCTGAGGCCACCTGGTGTCCCGTCCACCCCTCCCCCCCAATCAGCTCAAGGACTAACCCATGTTACAATGTGCAGCAGCAGGAAGAAACTGTGGGGCTAGGAGGATTCACATGGCTGCCCCCTCCTCACCATACGCTCCAGGGAAGGGGTCAGAGCCTGCATGTCCCTTACCTTCAAGTTGATGCTGGAGTCCTGCATCACCCACTCAGCCAGCGTGGGGATGTAAATGCCAGCGTAGCTCTCCCCAGTGAGGAAGAGCTTGTTCTTGCTGTACTCCGGGAAGAGGCGGAAGAACTCCTTCAGCGCCAGGTAATTATCGTGGGCCACCTGCAATCAGAGAGGAGGCTGAGGCAGGCTGTGTGGCAGGCACCCCAGCTCTGGAACCAACTCCTTGCTGCTGGAGACGGGCAGGTGTCACTGCCAGCAGCCCCAGAACCTCACTCACCTGGGTGTCATTAGTGGCATAGTCTTTCTCATCAGAGTAGGAGAAGCCAACACCTGCTGGGGACTCCAGGTACAGCATGTTGGCAATCTGCAGAGACAGCCCAGATCACTCAGGGAGAACAGGTAACAGCCAAGACCCTCCACTCTGAGGCCCCGAAGGTGCCAGATCATGGTACTAGCTCGATAGCCAATCAGGACAAGGCAGCATCTAACTGTAGCACCTGCTAACATGGTCAGGTTAAAACCTCCGTCTCACTTGTTTCCGGTGTTGGCTACAATACGCTGGCTAACTCCCTAGCACGTCCTAGTCTAGAGAGCCTAGGAGGCAAGATGGAGGTAAATAAGGGAGAAGCCTGACAGAGGCTTCATTTCTATGGGAAAAATGAAGGCAGGGCTTAGTGCCCCCCCCCCCAATGCATATAAGGCCCAGCACCCTCCTTGGCCTACATCCCAGCACAGCTGTTGCCATTGGAACGGCCTGCCCTGTGCACCTGGCAAGGGGGTGGGGGTGGGTAGAGAACACGGTCCCTTTCAGGAAGTGGAGTCCATACCTTATTCCAGGAATAGTCATTATACTGCAGGGTGGTCCCATCCGGCTGGATCTAATAAAGGAGAAGCCTCAGTTACCATAATAGAAGAGCCAATGCAGGAGATGCACTGTCAGGCTGGCCAGCCTGTCCCCCTTGGAGGAAGCAGGGGAACCATCCCTGAACCCAGTGCCTAGGTGGCTTGAACCAGCAAGGTTCAGGAGACTGAGGCTCCCCCTCCCTGCAGTTACAGCCCAGTCACCGCTGCCAACCCTTGGAGGGACATTGTTCCCAGCAAACCAGGGCAAGGGTGGGGTGGGGGACTTAGGGTGGCTCAGGCCAAGGAGAGGGATGGTGGTGACTTACCGTGAAGGGGCCATGCTCGGTCAATAAGCCAGACATGGAGCTGCAGCCAGGTCCCCCGTTCAGCCACAGCACCAGAGGGCTGCTCTCAGGGTTGTTCTGAGCCTCTGTAAACCTGGAGACCCAGTGATACTCAGACCTCAGTGGTTCAGGAGTCAAATTAGCAATCAACATTACCCGAAAGAGTCAAGGATGTGGGAATTCATTGCTTCGTTTACTAGAGCACTATCGATTCATATTGAAACAGTAGGACATGGAAGTATTTCATGTAACATAAGAACAGCCGTACCGGGTCAGACCAAAGGTCCATCCAGCCCAGTATCCTGTCTCCCGACAGTGGCCAATGCCAGGTGCCCCAGAGGGAGTGAACCTAACAGGCAATTATCAAGTGATCTCTCTCCTGCCATCCATCTCCACCCTCTGACAGACAGAGGCTAGGGACACCATTCCTTACCCATCCTGGCTAATAACCATTAATGGACTTCACCACCATGAATTTATCCAGTTCTCTTTTAAACGCTGTTATAGTCCTAGCCTTCACAACCTCCTCAGGCAAGGAGTTCCACAGGTTGACTGTGCGCCATGTGAAGAAGAACTTCTTTTTATTTGTTTTAAACCTGCTGCCCATTAATTTCATTTGGTGGCCCCTAGTTCTTGTATTATGGGAATAAGTAAATAACTTTTCTTTGTCCACTTTCTCCACATCACTCATGATTTTATAAACCTCTATCATATCCCCCCTTAGTCTCCTCTTTTCCAAGCTGAAGAGTCCTAGCCTCTTTAATCTCTCCTCATATGGGACCTGTTCCAAACCCTTAATCATTTTAGTTGCCCTTTTCTGTATAGATCTTATTCTCACAGCAAAATGACTGACCACATATTTTATCAACTGGCTAACAACCCCAGGCAGCAGGTATCACAGGCCAGGTCCTGCCCAAACTCCACCCCAAGGCTCCCTCCTACTTCCTGCTCTTGCCCCCCATGGCCCAGCACTCGGGGCGGCTCCCCCCTCCCCAGCAGCCAGGGTGGGGGGCTCTGGGCTCTAGCAGGAGATTGGGGGGGGGGGGAAAGAAGGGCTAGCTTCCCCAACGGGTAGCGCCACCCACGTTAACAACATAGTAAACGCAGCCTGGTTAGTTAGTAGTTAAATCCCGCAGTGTTTTAGGATCAGCGGCTGGAAAGAGCCGCCCCAGTGGAGTAGCGCTGCTATGGCCAGAGTCCCCCTGAGCCCAGCCCCAACCCACGCACCCCTCTGACCAGCGGGGCCCCACAGCGGGCGGCGGCCCCTCGCCCCGCACCTACCAGTAGTGCAGCCGCTTGTGCGGGTCGATGCGGAGGTAGCCCGAGTAGTGCCGGAAGGAGGGCTGCTTGGCCAGCCCCGGCAGGTAGCTCACCTCGTCGGCGGAGGGCGCAGCCCCCACGCGGGGGGCCGCCAGCAGCAGCGCGCAGAGCAGGACAGGCCCCATCTGCGGGCGGAGACGAGAGTCAGCCCGGCGGGGGGAGCCCCGGCCTGGCACCCCCCCAGCGCGGCCCAGCCAGACCCGGCCCAGGACCCCGCTCCCCCCGGCCCAGCCAGACCCGGCCCGGCCCAGCCAGACCCCGCTCCCACCGGCCCGGCCCAGGACCCCCCAGCGCGGCCCAGCCAGACCCGGCCCAGGACCCCCCAGCCCAGGCTGCCGCGTCCCGAGCTCCCCAGCCCCGCCCGGCTCTCACCTCCCGGCAGCAGGTTCCCCTTGAGTAGGGAACAAGGCACGTGACTCCCGTCCATATGAACCAAGGCGGTCACGTGACGCTGGGCGCAGCTGATCGCGGAGGGGCGGGGCCAATCCCGAATAGAGCCAATCAGAGCCCAGCGGCTCCCAGTCTCCACCCTCAATTCCGGCTTCTGGCCGGCGCGCGAGGCCCTGCGGGAGCAGCGCCGCCTGGCGGAGGAGTCAGGCGCTGGCCGGGGTAGACACACGGGGCGGCTGGGGGGGGGCCCGAGCGCAACCTGCCCAGGTCTCCCTCTGGCCGCAGAAGGGGCTGGGCCTGTGCCCCAAGCTCCCGGGCACAGCTCGCCAGGCCCGGCCCCACGCTGAGCTCCCCGGTGCAGCGAGCCTGGGCCAGCCCGGAGCCCGGCAGAGCCCCCCACAGCCCAGGAGGGAGGTGAGCGCCCCCCTGCTCAGGCTGACAGGACACGAGGCTGGTTCATTTTCTCCAGCTTCGCTCAGGCTCTCACTAGCACTAGGACCCTTGAGCGCTTCACTGGGGCTCTGCGTTCCCTACTAGGAGTGTACAATGTCACCACTCTCCCCACAACAGCTGTACAGTGCCAGGTGCTCGAGCCTGACTGGCCTGCTTAAAAATAGCCACAACCCCGTGCTCTGGGGGAATGCCACAGAGATGGCTGCCGCTGCCTGCCACCCACCCACCCGATTCCACCACGTCCATGGCACCAACATCTGCATCGACCCCTCGCACACTCAGGCCACCCGGGTGGAGAGCTTTGCCAACGGGCTATGTTTCAGCCAGGAGCCCCTGGAGCCTGGGCAGATCTTCCTAGTGGAGATTGAGGAGAAGGAGCTGGGCTGGTGTGGCCACTTGCGGGTGGGGCTAACAGCACATGACCCAAGAAGCCTGGATGTGGTGCCCGAGTATTCGCTCCCAGACCTGGTCAATATGGGGGACACCTGGGTTTTTGCCATCACCAGGCATCACAACCGTGTTATTCCAGATGGCTCGGAGGCTCGGGTCCAAGGCTTCCTCTCAGACCCCTACCTGCTCATAGAACAAGTCAGGATTCCCCGAGACAAGCTGGTGGGACGAAGCAGGCCCAGCCAGTACAGCCACATGCTGGATGACTTGTACAAGACAAATGTGCTGCCCCCGACAGCCCGGAGGAGCAGGATTGGGGTGCTGTATGCCGTCCGGTCTGACGGGATGGCAGACATGCACATCATCATCAATGGAGAGGACATGGGACCGAGTGCCAGGAGCCTCCCTGCCTCCCGCCCACTCTATGCAGTGATCGATGTCTTTGCTTCAACCAAGAGCGTCCGTGTCATCCAAGTGGAATATGGCTGTAGGTATCTGTTTCCTCCCCTCCCTGTAGAACCATCCTGGACAGGCCCCTCTGGCTGGATCAGAGCTCAGGGAGATCAGAGTGCGGTGGGGCTCAAAAAAACTACTTAAATCCAGTAAGATTAAATGTCACAGTCTCCCAGGGGCACAAGCTCAGCTCCCATGGTGCTGAGCACAAGACTGACAGATTAGACGGGAGAAAGCACTCATTTCCTGCTGGATACAGCTTCAGCCCTGAAAATCAGAACCTAGCTCAGGTTCCCCAACACTCATTTGTCTGACCTTCCAGCCTCTTTTCTCTACACTCCTGAGGCTCTCACCTCTGTGTCCTGATCTCCATAGCTCTAGTTTCTGCCTCCCTGCCCTGCCCTGCCCACCTATCGTCTCTGAGCTCCTGCCTGCTCTCATTTTTGTGACATTTCCAAGTTGGGATCAGCTTGGAGAGGCAGTTCTGGGCTGAGGTTTGGGTGCAGGGAGCAGAAACAGTGTGTTGCCATTTATGTCCTGCAGAACATCCAGGGACTCCTGTGTTACGGCCTCTGGTGAAGATGTTCATAGATAGGGATAGTGGGTATGGGGCCATCCAGCCCACTCCAGTAGTGGTAAAGTCATTTCCATCGCAAAGCTGTTCAGTGGACGAGGTGTGCAATCAGTTTGGTGTCTCAGTCAAATTCCTGATGGGACAGGTGGCCATGTCACAAAATCCACCATCGCTAATTAGCCACCTCATTGACTACCTTAGAGAGGCGAAGTACTAAGTGAGACAAGGAGGCTGTGGAAGAACTCCTGACATGTTAATGGCTAGTAACATAAGAATTGCTATGCTGGCTAACATGCCACATTTGTTGTAATGGATCAGTGCTTATTGGCTGATACCTGGATTCTAGATGTGAGGCCACATGTACAGCACTACAGTAAAACCAAAGAACAACTGTAACTATGGAACAGGCAGAAGAGTGACTTATCGATGTAGGGGAAGCCTTCCCTTGTTTCACTGGCTTAAAGTTCAGATTATTTTGGTACCAAGGCTAAAATCCAGTGGTTTCTCTGCTAGTTGTTTTGAGTTAGTTCTGTGAATGTCCAAACACAGGGAGATAAGATACGCGCTGCTGTGCAGGCTTTTCAGTCCTAGGATGATATTTTGAACCTGACTCATGTGTTTGCATGTGCAATTATCAATCATTAAACCTACTTTGATCTAACAGGACCCCAATGCTCTAATGAGCAACTTTGGTAGCAAGCAACCTCTCATGTTATTCCTGGACTGGACCACACCTTTTGTGGAGGGCCTGTGTCCAGCTCAGAATGTGAATCAATATCTTTTTCCCCGTCGGCCCTCTAGGCTGGAAGCTGTTGGGGGCAGTTGCAGTACCAGGCAAGTTGCCTCAGAATGTTCACTAGGGCTTCGTAAGATGGCTGGAACTGATGCAGGAGGCAGACTCTGGCTCTTCTCTCACTTAAGGCTTCAGTGATTTCTATTTCTGCAAAGCTTTCTTAGCATCTAAAGAGAAGTTTTACTGTTTATTGGCCAGGAGACAGTTTGCAGAGGAAACATAGAACAAGCTGCGGCCACTGGTGATGCTTGTGGGTCACAAGGGAGATTCAGGGCAAGTGGACATGGGGAGGAAGAGATTGCTGCAGATAGCGACAGGGACACTTCTTACCTAGTCCCCTGGTCATAACAACCCGAGAGCCCAGTGCCTCCAAGTTAAGGTAAACAAACTACTTGAAAATACTCCCAAGGTCAGACACATCCTCTAAACAGTGGTAACACGTTTGGACTCAGTACTGCTCTACTTCTATCTCTGCCTCAGATTGCACCTCAAATTCCTGGAAGTCACCAGCACTTAAGGCAGCCATTTTACAGAGACATTGAGCAAGAGTTCAGATTAATCACAGCTGACGGGTTCTTAACCACAGGGCTGACACAATGGCCAGACCATTCCACCCTTTGAACTCTCCATCGCTCCTCCCCGAGAGGTAGTCAGGGGTGGGGCACTGTAGCAGGATAACATGGGGGGAGCAGGCCCTGCTGCTGCCTGGGCTGTACGGTGGATAGCGAATTCACTCTCCAGGATTCTCTGGAGACTTTTACCAGCACCCACTAACTCAAAGAATTCAGAAAGAAAAGGTCTAGAAGCACGCTGGAGATTTTATTTTTTCTGCTGAGTGTCGAGAGCCTTACAAGAAATCCGCTGGGACTATGTGGGATAGGGTGACCAGAGGTCCCGATTTTATAGGGACAGTCCCGATTTTTGGGTCTTTTTCTTATATAGGCTCCTATTACCCCCCACCCCCTGTCCTGATTTTTCACATTTGCTGTCTGGACACCCTAATGTGGGGGGTGGGATCAGAGCCTGCGGCCCAGCAGGAGCACTGCTGCAAGGGAACAGAGAACTCACTCACTAAACCAGCTCTAACCAGTTAATCGTAACACTGTTGTGAAACCAGTCTCTCTGGGAAACCCCAGCCAGACCTCAGAGGGATCCAACATTCAATCCTGCTGTGTCTGCTAACTCAGGGACAGGAAGAGATAGAGAGGAGGGCAGGGGATCGGAAGTTCACGCAGCCTTTAGATGAATTAATAGGGCCTTTTCAAAATCCATCATGCAAATGCACCAGCACAGGCACATAAACTGCTCTCCTAGCCTTTACTGGGAGGCTAGAAAAGTAAGTACTTCCATCCTTCACTCTCATGTTGTGCTTCTCAGCAGTAGCTCTCCCAAGGAAAGCAGGAGAGCCTTGCCCCAGCGTAATCAGCAGGCAGATCTTTGTGAGGCTGAATTAATGGTGTCCTTGAAGCAGATTAATCTGCTGCTGTCCCAGAACAAACTGCCTTCCAGGAGCCACTGGCCCAGTGGCTCTTCTCTTCTGTGACAGAGCCACCTGCCTCCTAAGGTTGCCTCAGAGCAGCAACCTCAGCTTTTTCCTTTCCTTCCTCTTTCAGTCCCTTCCTTGCAGACCCTCTGTCGACTGGTCATCCAGAAGCACATTGTCCACCGATTGGCCATTGATGGGCTGGACCTGCCTCCGCTCCTGAAGAACTTCTGCAAATATGAATGAGATGGCAAGATCTCCCTCAGCAGGCAGGCCCTTCAAACTTGAAGCCCCTGTGAGTGACCAAGAATGGCCTTCCAGAAAGGGATCCATGCTTCCAGAACCGCTCTTCCATCTTCACCCAAGGAGCCCCAGGAGCAGAGGTGGTCCCCCCACTTCACAGCAGCTGACTGGAACCTCAGCAGTTACACCCATCCTGACATCCACTGTGCCGTGGAAGTGTGCAGTGCCATAAATGGCACAGAGACCACGGGAATGGCAGAGCCTTGCAGCACAGACAGTCAATAGCAGCAATGGGGGGATTCCCTGCACACAAAGGGACACGGAGGGATTGGTGCATGTGCCAGATTGTTGTAGAAATGAGAGGATAATAAAGTGCTTCAAAACAGAAGCAAATTGTTGGGAGTACTGACTGGTGTGGCCTAGTCTCAGACTCCTCCACATAGCAATGGAGAGAGGGTAGCACAGAATATCCCCCTGAGGTTGTGTCAATTGCTGTCAGCTACTTCAGAGTCACATAATTCAGTGACGATAAACTTGCCCTAACCAAAGGGGTTGGGGGAGGTTCATTTCCCATCAGCATCCTGCACAAGAAGGTTCCGAAGGGACAATCCAGGTAAACGTGGAGGCCTGGCTGCTTCTTCCAGGCACAGAGGGACTCAGAGCTATTAGACCCGGAATAGATGAAGCAGAGGGATAGTTCCCTGCTTTGTAGGATCTCAGTGGGGGATGACAGAGTTAGAATTGTGGCATAAGCAGGCAGGGAGGTCAGTGGCTTGCTGGTTCCAGTGTGAGGTAAGGTCAGGGCCTGTGATGCTGGTTCTAGAATGGGGAGAGGTCAGTGCTGGTACATTATGGGGAGAAGAGGCACCAGCCTGATTCCTACACTGGCAATGTCTTATTTTGGGAAGGAAAAAGCGTCTTCAGGTTTTTTAACTTCTATCCAAGGTAACTGCTTTTCCTTCCAATAGGGAAGCATTTTGTACAGAAACCAGAAAGTGATTGGAAGGTGACTCAAAGATCTGTTTGCTGCATGGCAAATTTACCCATCAAATAGGAGATTTAGGATTAAGGGCTTGTTATATCACAATCCACACTTCATACGGAGGCCCAAATAAAATGCCATCCCGAGGTGGCACGTAAACAGGACACGACTATATCATAATTATCTCAACAATCGGTGCTCTGTACAAGGCCTTTTCATGGTCCAGGAACAGTTATAATAGTACAGTCCTATCTGCCCTGCATGTTAACTGTGTTGGAGCTCCCCGTAACTGAGCTCTAATCCTCCATCCCAATCTGGATGGGAGGTGATTCCACCCCCCCCCTTCCCCGCCCCCAACGTAGCTGTAGTATAGCTGGTCCATTTTTACAGATAATACACTCTTGATGGGTCAGCATCACTCTGTCCCATAGTAGGGCAGCAACGTCCAAGTCTGCAGGACCTTCCTTATTCAATTCCGCAGGAAAGCCTGCCTCATACTCCTTAGAATTAAGAGCACGCTCTCCATGTTCAAAGCACTGATCAAATGTGAACTGACTCTCACCACACTACAGAGAGGGGGCTGAAAAGAGAGGCTAAAGGCCTCAAGCCGGACTCCTTTCTTTTAGCTGGAAACAAAGAGCCAGCATCATGTGAGGATCAGTTCTTTGCAGACTATGTCTGTCAATCCCACCAATGGCAGGGCAGGTGTTTGCACACACAAAGCAAGCCTCTCTTTGAAAATCGGGCCCTAGCTCACTAAGAAAAAGTACAGAAGAGCTGGGATTGGAATGCAGCTGCCAGTGCAACGTGCTATCACTAACCCATGCGGCTTCCAGCTCACAGGGTGGAGTGGGATGCAGGAGGAGAGTTCTCCTGAGCCCTGCACCTGGAATGAAAATTACAGCCTAGTTCTCATTCCACTGGTGTAATTTCTCTTAGGAAAGATGTTTACTCAAAAATAGTGGTGACTTATTTCCAGTGTTGCACATGGAAAGGTGGATGAAATGGACAGCCATGTGGTATGAATGCAGCGGAAACCCTGGTACAAACTATGTAGATTGTAAATCAATTCTGCCACACACTGACTTCTTGCTCTTCGGGCACCTATCTAGGAACATGCAGGACAACATTTTCAAACCTAGGCCTCAGATTTGCAATGCCCAGTGCTGGGGCACACCACAGAATGTTAATGTGCTCAGTTAGAGCACAGCAAGACCCCTCTGAAAGCATGGCCCCTTGATTTCAGTGGTTGAAAGGCTGTTTATGCAGAGACCTGCCTTAGCCCTGGAGCCTACCTATTGAGGATTGGCAGAAGCACAATCTGCTATTAATAATCAGTCTGCTCCTACGTTTTCTCTTTTCCTTCCCCCTCACAGATGCCAGCAGACAGCTCCAAGTGGCAAAGAGCAATCCACTAAGTGTTTATCAGTGTGGGGAGACATCTCTTCCTGCTGGGGTTTTGGTTCCAGGAGTGCTCAGAAGGAAAACACAGGAAATTGCAGCTCCTTCACATGTAGAAGCAACCCTTGTGTATCAGAAGACACTAAAGCAGCCTTGTAGTGGTGCCCAGCAGAGTCCAAGGTTCCCTCTCAGTAGCAGATCAGGGTACAGGGACATAAGGTGGGAGCCTTATAGTGGACACTATTGTGGAAGGTATTCTAGAAAGTTTCCCCAGCATAAACAGGATGAGATCTCTATATGGGATTATCCATCTGAATGGGTCAGAGACAAGCAGCCATGTGGCCCCTCTGGCATGTATCCAAGTGCCTCTGTGAAAGGATATCCTCCAACCCAGCAAAGGAATGGGCAGCACGTTGGTGAGCTGGGCAGCCCAGGGGGAGACTTCCCACTGGCTACCTTTGGATTTCCTCCCAGAGGTGCTTTTCTTATGCCCATAAAACTCAGTAAGAACAGAGGTCAACAGTCAGTGCAGAACCCTCCTCCAGACATTTGCATCCTCACTCTTGCCATGATGATAGCTGGCATCCCCACAGTGCCTGTGCCAGGGATTAAAGAGGAGGATCTGATCAGAGCTGCACAGAACTTCATGGCAGAGAATCCAGAGCAAGGTGTACAGGGGGAGAGAACTCCAGAAAGGACAGGGAATGCACAGTTCTGGAAGACAGACAGACAGAGGAAGAGACCAGTAGACAGAGGCTTCCAGCCCCCTTCCATAGCACACTTTGAGAAGTAAAGCCAAGGAGAAATTCACAATTCAAAGCAAAAGGCTTTTAGGAAAATATTTGATGCTATATTTACATAAAGGAGTTTATATTACAGAACTCTAGCACAAAAGGAAATCTTTGACCATACAGTAGTTCTGTTCCTGTGAATGGAGTGTGGATTCTGATGTTAACAAAACTGTGAATGAACCATTGAGCCAAAAAAAAACAAAACAAAACAAACCACAAACAGTTTGACATGACATGAATAAACCAGGCTGACCCAGGGTGGAACAAATTACTGACCTAAATAGCACCTTCTGTCCTATTCCCTCACCACTCCCTGTTGACTGGTACAGAAAATTATATCTACATCTCCCTGCCCCCAGGGTCTCCTTGCCTGAAGGTGCCAGAGAGGGTCCACGCACCAACCCATCCATATATCCCCATGTCGTGCAGCAGCTCTTACTGGCTGGGACTGGGACTGGGACTGCTCTCTCCTCTGCATGCCCACTACAGTACATTTAAATCTCCGATTTCTCCACTTCGCTGTTTGTCTTACCGTAACTCTAATTTCAGAGGGGAGCCGTGTTAGTCTGGATCTGTAAAAAGCAACAAACAGTCCTGTGGCACCTTATAGACTAACAGATGTATTGGTGCCACAGGATTCTTTGTTGCTTTTTACAGATTTATGGTAACACTGTTTTGTTCCCTCCTCCCATGTCAGTGACACAAGCCTGTTGACGATAGAGGGCAAGTTTATGTGGAATTAAGAGCTGCCATAACCAGCCAAACCACTCCAGTGCTCCTAGCAGAGGCTGCAGACAGCAGCTCCCTGGTAGCATGGGTTGCTACCCTCCGGGGTTTGTGGCTCCTTAACAACCAGGTTCAGTTAAATAATTAGAGGCAATGAAGTGAGAAGAGAAAAACAAAAGACATGGTTTCAAAACAAAGGTCTGACTTCACATGAGCAAATCCTGCTCTACCAGACTAGTAGGAAGCCCCATGTCACCATGACAGGAAAGGGAAGGGAACCACAGGCTGGCTCAGATACACATCCTGGGACTAACCCACATGAACCCAGCTGCAACAACAGATAGCAAAAGGATCCCATGAGTGTCTGAATGCATGAACTATGGTTCAGGCAAGTTAGTCCCAGGTTATTACCCTCCTCCCCCATTCCATTCCCAGCTGGGTTTCCTGTTGGCTGGGTCAGAGACAGAATTCCTACCTAAGTCCACCTCCTTAGGTCTCATAGCAAGAGGAAGTGTTCACCCAATAGACATTTAGGATCTGAAGCCAAAGGGGAAACTACCATGATGCAGATTTAAGGCCCACATTTATACAGTTTCTAAGGAGAATAAAGTGGAAGACATACCACTGGAGGAACTACATTTAATCAGATGTTTTTATAGTATTTCACACCTCACTTCTCCCAGAGGCCCAGAAAGCAGGAGAGTCACACCTCGAAGAGGCTGAGAGCAGAGGCACGGAGCTCTCAGTTCTGAACTACAGCTTCACCTGAACATAAGGTCCAATCCAGCTATCGGCCAATTCTCGGAGGGTGTTGTATCTCCGATCAAACTCCTCACTGCTGCACTGGGTAAGAAGCCGGCTAATCTCCGCTGTAAGAAAGGACACTGCTAAGGATTTATCCAGGGACTCATTCCAGGAGCTTTTCAGAACCTCCAAGAGGCCATCAGTGCCATTTTGCCCTGCCTGAGAGATATTAGGTTCCTTCTGCCATTGCTCGCTCAGCATCTCCGGCTGTAAGATCTTCTTATCAGAGTTCAACACAGCCAGGATGTGCCTGCAGGGCAGCTGGAAAGCTTGACTGAAGTGGCATGTGCAGCTTTTCAGGCCCCTTTGGTTCACTTTGTGGGTGTCTTCGAGGATCTGTATATTGACTATGTCTTCATTGGTGCCTATTAGCTGCACAGATTTCTGTGCCACTGCAAACTCGTTCAAGCATAATCTGGCTGCCGGCTCTGTGCAAATGTCTCTCAGTGACTGCCTGATGCAGTCTTCAGTCTCTTGGTTACACTCCACATCTTGGTCACCCTTTGGGTCTTCAGTGATGATCTCCAGTTTAATGTCATGGGATAAAGGATCCAAGGGGCTCTGAGGGTTTGCTAGCTGGTTCTGAGGAAGCAGAGGACTCTGAGGGGCGGGCAAGGGATTCTGAAGAACCAGGGGATTTGGAGGGGAATTCTGACCTGGCCATTTCTGATGAGCTGCTGTGAGATTGAGAGAAACTG